CATTCCAATATGTTCAATATGCCTCGACTCCCACGAAATATGGCTCTTTATGTCTTTTGTTGGGTGGTTAAATGCTTTGCCCATCCTTTACTTTCTAGGGGCTTTCATTTCCACCATTATATGGATGACTGGATGCTCCTAGCTCCTTTGCATGCCACCTCTTCCCTTCACACTTGGTTTCTTCTTCGAGAGGCTGCTTGAGTAGGTTGACTGGTCCAGGTGGAGAAGTTCATCTCCGGGTATTTTTCAATTCCTGTCTCACCTGGGCCCAACCTTCTCCACTTCACATGTGATTTATGGAGCTTCTGGTGTAGACTGTTTCCTCCTCTCCTTCTCCAACTGTGCATGAGACATGAGCTTCTTTGGAGGCCCTCATTCCCCTTTAGCCCACATGCGACCTCTTCAGTAGGCTTGACAAGATCAGTGGAACCTTGTTTGGATCCCTTGGACACCCCTATCCATCTTCCTCCTTTCCTTCATGTGAACTTTACATGGTGGTTGAAAATGGACAACACCACAGCGTGTGTTCCTCTTCCCCTTCTTCATCCAGAGGTGCACCTCTTCATGGATGTCTTTCTCTTTTTGGGTTGAGGTATGTATCTGGTTATGCAGGAGGTTTCAGGGTGTTGGTCTATTGCGGAGTCATCTCTTCATATCAATCTCTTGGAACTGCTTGTTGTCCATTGGGCTTTGGTTTACTTCCATCCGTCTCTTTGGAACAGGTTGGTTTTGAACCATCCCAACAACTCTGAGGTCATCTTGTGCATCACATGGTCGAGTTCTCTTTGTTTCCACACATTGGACCTCCTGTTTTGGGCCCACATCCATCACATTTGATTGTTGTTGTGTCATATATCCAGTGTCCTGAACCTAGTCGTGGATTGTTTATTATGCCCTGACAAGATTCTCCCCACAGAGTGGTCCCTCAGCCCACAGGTGTTCAGTTGGTTGTGTTCCCAGTGAGGTACTCTGGAACCGGATGCATTCACCACCCACCTGAATTGCAAGCTTTTCAGGTTTTGCTCCCCAATTCCACAGCTTTTAGCTGTAGCTGTTGATGCCCCCAGTCAGGATTGGGAGGCCATTACCTCTTTGTCTATCCACTAATTTCTCATCTTCCCTGTGTCCTTTCTGTCATACAAGCCACTTCATGTTTCATCCTCTTGGTGGCACCACTTTTCCCAGTGCAGCCATGTTTACACTTCTGAATCTGCTCCTACTGACTACCTTTTCCTCTACCCCCTCTCCACCCACCTTTCTTCAGACAACTTC